CCCAGGGGACGGCCGTCCTCCGCCACTTGTCGTTGGGCTCCCAAGCCGACGAGCTTGTTCGGACAGCGCGCCGCCGGTCGGGTCTCCCCTGCCGGACGAGCCGGTGGCACGCGCATGGGCGTGGCCGAGTGGCTGGGCATGTTTGTGCGCCAACGCGACCCTCGGCGGCGACCGGTGCCCGACGCCAACAGGGCCGCGACCGGGGACCGGGGCCGGGGCCGGGGGGGGGGGGGAGGGGACACCGGGGCGGCCTGTCACATGCTGGGGGCGGCTTTCCCGGATGCCCGGCCGGATATGGCCTGGTACGGGGGCGATCCTCCTGGCCGCCTCCGCGGCCGAGCGCCTGGGGCGGTGAGCCGGGGCCAGTACGTGGCATGCCTGAATGCCCGCCGCCGGGCGGCCTCCCACCGGACGCGGGGGTCCGCGTGAGTGAAGTCGCGCGCCAAGGACGCCGTCGTGCTGCGGACCGCGGTGACGCCACATTGGTCCGATCAACAGGCGCGCCGTCGGCCGCCTCTTTGGATCGGCCCGGCCCGGGGGCCCGGCCCGCTGGGCGCCGCCGGCCCCTAGACGGCCGTTGTCGGGGGTGGGGGAAGGCCCGGGGGCCAAGCGATTGGACGCCCAGGCCGCCTGCGACCGACCGCTGGGCATTTCCCGGTCGGAGAGCTGGCCGGCTCGCTGGCACGCGTGCATGTGCAGGCCGCGCCTCCTCCCGGGGTGTACGCAGTTACATGGTGCTGGCGTCGGCACCGGTGGGCGGGGGTGCCTGCGGGGGGATCTTCCCCCGGCCGCGGCCCGGGCAGAGGCGCCGGCATGCGCCTGCTCCCCGGGTCGCCGCCAGCTGCCAGGCGCTGAGAGCTCCTCCCCAAGTCCTGCCAGATGTCGGGCTCTGGGGGGCGGGGATGGGCGCCGTGCGCCGGCTCCACACGGCTGCCGTGTCCCCAGCGGCGGGCTCATTTCCAGGTGGACCTGCGAGCTGGGCCGCCGGGGGGCGGGGGGGCGGGGGGGGCGATGCATTTTGCTGGCGGGACTCGCTATTTCCGGGGCACTTTGAGCGGCCGACCCGCCCGGCCGGCGCACGGGGCCTTGGTTGGATGTGCGTGTCCCGGCGCTCCTGCCGCCCCTCCTCCCCGCTGCTCGCGCACGATCGTCACGAATGAGGCCGGGGGGCGGGCGGGCGGGCGGGGGGGGGGTTCGTGCCCGGGAGAGCCATGGGCTGAGGGAGCCCCCAGCCCCTGGTGCGATGCGCGTAATTTCCGGGCTACCTCGCGGTTGTGCTTCTCCGCCCCCCGCCCCCCGCCCCCCGACCGGCGTCGTCGCCCGGGCGCGGGCTCTGATGCCCGGTCGTGACTCCGGCCTGAGGTTGGGCCATGGGCAGCCGGCGCGTGCGTCTCCGGCGTGCTCTCCCCGGTGTGGCTCTCCGGCCGGACGCGCCCGTCGCCGAAAGGCATGGTCTTTGTCCCTTTCGCGCGCCCTCCATCCGGGCCCCTCTCGCCCGCGCGCGAAAGGGCCCGCCAGCCGGCGCATGGTTCCTCCGGGAGCCCGCCGGCCGAGATGCCCACACTCGTACTTGGCCGTGGGCGGCCCTCTCCCGGCGGACGGGTGCCGGCCCGGTGTAGTACTGGCCGCGGGCTCGTACTCGTGCTCGAACTGTCTGAGAGGGAGGGGGGCGAGCTTGCCGTCCGTTACCACCTCCCTTCGAGGCCGACCTAGCGGCACAGCCAGCCCTTGCAAGGGGCTGGCCCCCTTGCGCCCGGGACCGAGTGTTCCCGGGCCCCCCCCCCCCCCCCCCCGCCACCCCGCCGGGGGGCGTGGCGAGTCGCCTCTCATCGCGGGCATATGGACCAGAACGGGATGCCAAAGACGGCCGGGCGGGGCCACGGGCCGCGGCATTGGCAGAAGCTTGGTTCCACTGGGACAGGTGCCCGGCCTCAGGGGGGGTGACCGGGGCCCGGGCCGGCGGCCCAGATCGGTCTCGCTCTCCCGGGGCGCGCCCAAGGTGATCCGGGCCTGCCAGGCATTTTCCCCGGCCGCCGAGTTGAATTGGCAAACCGCCCGGCACCTGCTCATTAATAAATAAACAGGGGCTTCTGCTGAGCATGGGGCCGCGGCGCTTTTTGCCGCCGCTCGCGCGGCTCCCGCGCCGCCCGCCTTCGCTTCGTGGCGCTTCCCCGAGCGCGATGCGCCCGGTCCTGGCGGGGCCGGGCCGGCCCGGCGCGCGTCTTCCAGGTCAATGCCGCGAGCGGGCCGCACATTCCAGGGAGTTTGTCCATGTCCATCCCCCGTGCCCTCCGCCTTGCCCCCTGCTGTGCCCCTTGGCAAATATCCCTGGCTGCAGGGAGGGGCACATGGGGCGAGACACACACACACACACACACACACGCACACACACCACGGGACACCTTCTCGCTCGGCCCCCGAACCCGCGCCCAGGCCCGGCCCGCGGTTGTGGTGCGGGGCCCAACGCAGGCGACCGGCCGGGTCGGGCGATGACCTCGGCGAGGACACTGGGAGCCGCGAGGAAAGGGCCGTACACGCTGCCCCCCCCCCCTCCCCCCGGGCCATTCTCTTGTCGGCCAGCGTACACCGCGCGGGGGCGTCGAGGGAGGGGGGCTCCTCAACCGGGGACAAGGCGGAGTCTGCGACTGCGCCGGGGGGGGGGCGCGGGGAACGTGCGGCCCTTCTGCCAGACATGCGCGCCCGGGCTGAGCGCGCAAGTGCACAAGGCCACGCGCTCGCACGCGCTTGCCCGTCCGCCACCGCGAGTGTCCGCCCCTCGCGCGAGACACCGACGGGGAGACAAGCGTGGGGCCCATGGCAGCGGTCCCCGCCGCCCGCCCCCCCCCCCCCCCCCCCCCCCCCCCCCCCCCCCCCCCCCCCCCCGTCCCCCCGCGTCCCCCCGCGTCTCCCC